TGAAAAAGAAAAAAAAATCGAAAATTCCAAAAAAAAATTTGTTGAATTCCAATTTTTTTTTCTGCTTCAGAAGTTTTTCTTTCAAAAATTGAAAAAAAAAACATATTCGAAATTCAAAAATATTTTATTTCTTCTTTAGAAGTGTTTATTTCAAAAAATTCAAAAAAAAAAGGAACTTTAAAAATGAAAAAAAAAAATCTTTTTTTTAATTCTTTCTTTCAACAATTCCAAAAACAAAATGAAAAAAAAATCGCTCTTCTTTAGAAGTCTCACTTTCAACAATTCAATAAAAAATTGAAAAAAAAAACATATTCGAAATTCAAAAATATTTTATTTCTTCTTTAGAAGTGTTTATTTCAAAAAATTCAAAAAAAAAAGGAACTTTAAAAATGAAAAAAAAAAATCTTTTTTTTAATTCTTTCTTTCAACAATTCCAAAAACAAAATGAAAAAAAAATCGCTCTTCTTTAGAAGTCTCACTTTCAACAATTCAATAAAAAATTGAAAAAAAAAATTCTTTCTTCTTTTGAATCCTTTCTTTCTACCAAAAAAAAAAAATATAAATCCAAAATTATTTTCCTTGTTAGGAGCTTTCGTGGAGTTATTTGTATATGAATAAAAAACGAGAGTTAGTTTGTGTACTTTTTTCCTGATTTTTTCTGAACTATGTAATGATCTAATTCATGCGGCGTCATGATACGTAGACAATCCCCATCGGATTCAATCATAACCATAGAATTAACTGAGGAAAAAATAAACTAAAAAAAAAAAGAAAGAAAAGAAAAAAAATAGAAAAAAAGAGAAAAAAAAAGAGAGGGACAAAAAATAAAAGAGTGACCAAAAAAAAAGAAAGGAGAATGCCAAAAAAATAAAAAGCGACAGAGACGAAAAAAAAATCAAGAGTGATTAAATAGAGGTAGAAATAAAAGAAAAGAGGTACATACTTAAAGGGTTAGTTAAGGCCGGGATGAAACATGCAACCGTTCAAACACATGGTAGAAATGTTTAACTATTAGGTGCATTGCATCCCCAACGTGCGATTTCCTATGTGTTAAATGTCTCAAAACTAACGAGGTTGTGGTGTGAGCAAATTAGTCAGGTTCTGTTCAGGTGGTTGGTTTTGTTGGTATGCAGTGATGAACCGCACAACCTTGCACGCGGCCACAACATTATACACAAAA